CGCTGCTGTCACCACCGTTGAGATAGGTGGGCGTGGTTTCAGCAACCAGCTCCCGCCTCTTTGCCCATTTTCGATTATCCAGGAGTGACACGCGGTGATGCGCTGCCAAGATGGCGACAGCCCGCTCCGCCCACTTTAAGCTTCAAAAACGGTCTTCAGAAACCTACGGGTGACATCACGGACACTACGTCCATGTTTTTATACAGTCTATGTAAGAAAAGAACACACTGTATTCCAGCATAAGAACCTCATCCCATCTGTGAAACATGGTGGTGGTAGTATCATGGTTTGGGCCTGTTTTGCTGCATCTGGACCAGGACAGCTTGCCATCATTGATGGAACAATGAATTATAATTATGTCTGGGCATCTGTCAGTGAATTAATTCTCAAGAGAAAGTGGGTCATGCAGCAAGACAACGACCCCAAACACACAAGTTGTTCTACCAAAGAAAGGTTAAAGAAGAACAAAGCAAATGTTTCGTAATGGTCAAGTCAAAGTCCGGACCTTAATTCAATTGAAATTTTGTGGAAGGAACTGAAGCAAGTAGTTCATATATGAAGGAAACCCTATAGGAGGAAACCCACCAACATCACGGAGCTGAAGCTGAAGATGTTGTGCAAGACTGATCAGCAGTTACAAGAAATATTACCTGCAGTTATTGTTGCAAAACAGGGTCACACCCAGTGGTGGACAGTAACGGAGTAGTTTTACTTCGTTACTGTACTTAAGTACATTTTTCAAGCACCGTTGAGATAGGTGGGCGTGGTTTCAGCAACCAGCTCCCGCCTCTTTGCCCATTTTCGATTATCCAGGAGTGACACGCGGTGATGCGCTGCCAAGATGGCGACAGCCCGCTCCGCCCACTTTAAGCTTCAAAAACGGTCTTCAGAAACCTACGGGTGACATCACGGACACTACGTCCATGTTTTTATATAGTCTATGGTCCGCACGCAAAAATTTAACACCTCCTATGTGTTACTATTAATGAAGAAAAACAGACTGGATGTGTGTATAACACATGACAACATTTAGGATGCATTGATTAGGAGCCCAAACTACACTCAATAGCCAAGTGATACGGAAATAATTATGGTCCGTGATTTTGGCACAGATTATGTGTAATAAACAATTCAGTTACTATGATTTTTATTTATTTATTTATATATATTATTTTATTTTAAGTCATTTTATTTTATTTTTTGGTCACTGAATCAGCATATTAATATGATTTCTGATGGATCATGTGACATTGAAGACTGGATTAATGTCTGCTGAAAATTCAGTTTTGCTATCATGGGAATAAATTACATTTTATTTTACATTTACAAATGACATTTTAAGATATTCTATATTTTCAAATAGAAAACAGTTATTTTAAATTAGAATTATATTTCACAATGTTGCTGTTTTTGCTCAAATAATGCATCCTTTGTGGGCAAAATACTTCTTTCAAAAACAGAAACCTTACCGACCACAAACTTTTGAACAGTAGTGGATATATTGAATATAGTTAAATATTGTTAAACGACTAAAAAATTGTGGCATGAAAACATCACCAAGCCCTAATGAATACTACTGATATATGCTTCCTTTCCACAGTGTCATAACTACATTTACCAGGTTTTGAAAGTGAGTGAGTGAAGTGCATAAATGCCACGTTTAAATTTATGGATAGATTTCTGGAATTTCAGTGGTGCTTATTGCGGTCATGCAACTGAGGTTCCTACTTAAACTCTCATTGTGACTGGTGCTCTCAGCTGTTGCACTTAACATTCTCCCTTGAGTGCACATCATAATGAGAGCAATTAACGTCCACTCCCATGTGTTCAAGAAAAATGGATCTCTCATGGACTGTTCTCTAATAAAACATTTTTATTTAATAGATTTAATAGCGTATGATGAAAGCAGTCGACCATAAACTCACCATTTCTCATTGCTAATTTTCATAATAATTGTACATTTTGCTTGGGACTAACCTATTACTCCCTGAAAGAAAGTCAGCAACATTAGGAAACCTTTTTAGGTCTTTTTTTTTAGAAAGTTATTTTTGTAATGGAATGTATAGGAGATGTGCGTAACACATCTGTTGTGTGAAGCTGAAGTAAGATGATTCAATTTTAAACAAAGTTATAACTAACTGTTTTACCACAAAGTTACCCATTGCCTTTGTAGAACAGATACGGAAATAATTATGGTCCGTGATTTTGGCACAGATTATGTGTAATAAACAATTCAGTTACTATGATTTTTATTTATTTATTTATATATATTATTTTATTTTAAGTCATTTTATTTTATTTTTTGGTCACTGAATCAGCATATTAATATGATTTCTGATGGATCATGTGACATTGAAGACTGGATTAATGTCTGCTGAAAATTCAGTTTTGCTATCATGGGAATAAATTACATTTTATTTTACATTTACAAATGACATTTTAAGATATTCTATATTTTCAAATAGAAAACAGTTATTTTAAATTAGAATTATATTTCACAATGTTGCTGTTTTTGCTCAAATAATGCATCCTTTGTGGGCAAAATACTTCTTTCAAAAACAGAAACCTTACCGACCACAAACTTTTGAACAGTAGTGGATATATTGAATATAGTTAAATATTGTTAAACGACTAAAAAATTGTGGCATGAAAACATCACCAAGCCCTAATGAATACTACTGATATATGCTTCCTTTCCACAGTGTCATAACTACATTTACCAGGTTTTGAAAGTGAGTGAGTGAAGTGCATAAATGCCACGTTTAAATTTATGGATAGATTTCTGGAATTTCAGTGGTGCTTATTGCGGTCATGCAACTGAGGTTCCTACTTAAACTCTCATTGTGACTGGTGCTCTCAGCTGTTGCACTTAACATTCTCCCTTGAGTGCACATCATAATGAGAGCAATTAACGTCCACTCCCATGTGTTCAAGAAAAATGGATCTCTCATGGACTGTTCTCTAATAAAACATTTTTATTTAATAGATTTAATAGCGTATGATGAAAGCAGTCGACCATAAACTCACCATTTCTCATTGCTAATTTTCATAATAATTGTACATTTTGCTTGGGACTAACCTATTACTCCCTGAAAGAAAGTCAGCAACATTAGGAAACCTTTTTAGGTCTTTTTTTTTAGAAAGTTATTTTTGTAATGGAATGTATAGGAGATGTGCGTAACACATCTGTTGTGTGAAGCTGAAGTAAGATGATTCAATTTTAAACAAAGTTATAACTAACTGTTTTACCACAAAGTTACCCGTTGCCTTTGTAGAACATAGAAAATACTTTCAGAGCCTAGTGTTTGTAGCCAGTGTCTTAGCTTGTCCTTGAGGATAAAGGACCACAGGAGCTCTTACGCCTGTGAATAGAGTTCCACCTGCTGTGTGGTGGACTCTAAAGTTCTGAGTAGTAATGTTTTATGCAAGAGCTGACTGAAGAATCCTTGACCCTGAAGTACACTTTGGAAGTGGCATTCTGAATCACTTCCTCATTCAGATGGAGGATATGGATTATGTTGTTGTCTTGCTTTGTTTTGTTCTTAGTCTTTGTTACTCTTATCAGTGCGAAGATGTAAAGACAGGGATTATCATTTAGACATTTAACTTTAGTGACCTGGTAGCTTTGTAAGTTGTGTTTAATGCGTTTAACATGTAAACTGAAGGTCATGATGATAACACAAACTACTTTATGAGTGTAGTTAGAAGCAGACAGAAAATGCATGTCATTGTCTCCTCCTCACCATCTTTTTGTTACGTGAGCAATAGCACAAACTTCTTATCCTTAATTTAGGATACATTTTTAGACAAAGAGAAACCATTTACATGAGTGATTGAACGCAGACATTAAAACTTTCTGAAAATAGGAGACAAAGTAGGTTCAGAAACTTTTTTTTTAGTTAGTAAACTTTTTTTAAACTTAGTTTTTAACAAATGACCAGCAAAATGATAACACGAGAAGGTACAACCTAAATACAGGTGCATCTCAATAAATTAGAATGTCGTGGAAAAGTTCATTTATTTCAGTAATTCAACTCAAATTGTGAAACTCGTGTATTAAATAAATTCAATGCACACAGACTGACGACATTCTAATTTATTGAGATGCACCCTTATGTGAATATGTTGTTTTCTATTTGTGTTATATTAGGTTTGCAGTGTTTTACAACCCTGTTACCAAGTTGGGAAATGCCTATAAACAGTACAAACCAATGACTTGTGGTGTTTTTGCTATTTAATATTTATTATTTGATTATTTAATATATATATATATATATATATAATTATAAATCACTCTGTTGATCTTTTATTACTTGGTCCTGCAGTTAGGAATTGTTTACTTGGCATACTGCAGCATATGATGTTCAAGAAGCATTTATGTAATATGCAACTGGTATGTTACCCCCAGGCATTCAAAATGATTGTTTTAACCAAACTGATGTCATGCCATATAGCCAAACAGCCCATTTTAATATGTCTTCTTGATGGGTAATTGTGAAATGCCTCTAGACTTGGTCAACACCTTCCTGAAAAGATTAAGCTGTCATGTGGAATGGGAATAATTGGCCCTCAGCGTGACGTTCATCTGAGAAGCATGGCGGTTGTAATCCCCTTATTGCATCTTATCAACACGTTCATGTGCAGATGCTTTGGCCTCGAGTTCACTGGCCTGTCATAAAACCAGCAGTAATCGCCTAGCAATGCAATAGGATACTATGCAAATGTGCGGTGAATTGATTTCCTAACTCAGGACAGCTGTGGGAGTGAAGTGGTTAGCATAGGGGTTTCCTGCTTTCATTTCTGACTGGCTGAGGCCCAGCGCACACGTGTGATGGAAAATTAACTCACAGAGCTGTATGTTTTGTTATCTTTGAGTATGTGGGTCTACTGATCATCATTTTTCATCAAGGAACATTAGATGAAGAGAATGTGGGAACAGTTCACAGATACTCGTGATAATGTTGCGACCTTTCACTGACCCCTTTCTTTTTTCATTCCAGTCAAGTACATGCGGGAAGCCACGCCATATGTGAAAAAAGGGTCACCGGTGTCTGAGATTGGTTGGGAGACGCCGCCTCCTGAGTCCCCTCGTCTCGGCAGTCCTCACTTCGATATCCCCAGCCCCCCCTCGCTGTCCTTACAGGGCGACCGCAGATACATCCCCCTCAAAATGTGCTACATCACCCACAGTATGACCGTCCCTGACCCAGAAAAAAGGTACTGCTTCTCATGTATTCAATATATTGACCACAGGAAGTTTGCAAAACTTGCAGCGTTACTTTATGAGAGGCCAAAGTCCAATACGTTTAAAACATTAAAGAATGTTTTAATAAATATTACCACAAGCAGTATTCAAATTCTGATTTCATTTTCAAATTATTTCAGTATTTATTGAAAAAATTTAAGATATGTGTAATTTGGAGAATTAACTAATATTAGGCCTGTGTATTTTTGCTTGTGTAGTACTTGTTAAGATCCTAGTCCTAATAAAAGAAGGTGATTGGAAGTGTTTTAGACAATCTCTTTGTAATGCAGTAAGGGGTCTCATTATTCAGCGGGTGAATGTGACAACCCTTGTAATGCACTCCACACAACAAATGCTTTATGCTTTACGCTCACTCAGTCATGTTTGATGTCTGAAGAGTCCTCTGCTTGTCAGTGGACGAACTTTCATATCTTCAAAAGTGATGGAGGACAACATCAAAGTCCTGTCAACAATGACTTCAAAGTTTTCATATGTTGGCTGAGTGCTTGAGCTGGGCACTTTCCAAAAAACACGGCCAAAAATCACTCCAAATGAAATGCAAAATATGAAGCCAAACATTAAACCTGTGACATGGCTGTTCTGAGCTACTATGGAATAAAAGGGAAAAAGAGAGCTCACGCACCATGTCCAACGAATAGTAATACGAATAAAAAGAAATACGAATAAAATATTTCTTAAGAGGCCAAAAAGTGCTCGGTACAAAAAGGTGACAGTACATTTTCTGGTTACCAGTGTCCATAAGATAGACTGGAACATTTACATGGTTGCATTTATTGCTTAATTGTCTTATATAAGTCATCTTAGTCACACTACTGATGTCACAGATAATTAAAAGTTTGCTGTCAGTAAGATTTTTCTTTTTTTTTTATTCACCAAGGATGCATTCAATTGACCAAAAGTGACATCAAAGACATTTATAATGTTACAAAAGATTTATATTTCAAATAAAAGCTGTTCATTTTAACTTTGTATTCATTAAAGAATATTAAGCAGCACCAGTTTTCAACATTGATAATAATAAGAAATGTTTCTTGAGCAGCAAGTCAGCATGTTAGAATGATTTCTGAAGGATCGTATGACATTGAAGACTGGAGTAATGATGCTGAAAATTCAGCCTTGTCATCACTGGAATAAATTACATTTTGAAATGTATTAAAATCGAAACCAGTTATTTGAAATTGTAATAATATTTCACAGTATTACTCTTTTTACTGTATTTTCGATCAAATAAATGCAGCCTTTGTGAGGATAAGAGACTCAAAAACATTAAAAATGATACCAACCCTAAACTTTCGAAAGGGTAGTGTATGTATGTGTATATATACTATATAAATACAAATGTAATTATCTGGTTTGTTGTATATCAATGCAATATAGTTAACATGTACAATGTTTTCTGAGTTTATGTCAACAAAATACCATTATTCATAATACATGTGTTTCAAAAGCATAATAACCTTGTTCACCATTTTCAAAATAACATCATCTTGATATATAAAATGTATAAAATAACTTAATACTTGAGCAAACATCTAAGAAAGAATTTCTCTTTCATGCCTGGAGTATGCAAATATTTTAAATAAAATATCAGTCTCAGATGTGTTTTATTCTGTATTGCTGAAAGTGTTTTTGCTTGAGTGGTAAAAGTTATCACAACCACTGTCTGTTTTTGTGCTCAAGCCTCATGTTATTTTTTGCACTATATTGTACTTTTGTCTTCAGAGAAACGAACGTTGTGGTTTGTGAGATTAACCATAACATTACACAGGAAGTGTGTTAAAAGATGATGTGCCAGCGCTGAACTGCTTGACAGTAATGACAGGCGGAAAATGTCACATCCCTTATAAAACACAGTAAGGCTTTGTGTCTGTGTGCTGCTGGAATTTTAAACATACTGAATCCTAATAACTTTCTGCATCCATTTTTATCTCTTTGTTTTAGATTAGTATAAAACAATGAACCTGGTGCAAAATCTAGTTGAGAATATTTTTTGTCCTTATTTGAAACTCGAATGTGAAATTTTCACAGAGCAGCAACTTTAGCTGTTTTGCTATGTGTTGCTACATTGTACCTTATACAACAGTATTCTTCTCTGATTCCAAGACTGCGGATACTTATAATAATTTTATGAAGATATAAGGCAATATCACAGTGCTGATTGTCTTCGGAGGAATCACAGCCGTGTTAGTATTCAGTACAACAGCACTCTTGCTCATAAGACGTTGCTTAAATATCTGGCATAGGTATATATGCTGGGAGACGTATGGTGAGATAAATTGACAGGTAGACAGACAGACGAAAGACTGTTCCACTCCTGCCATGCGCTGTCAGTCAGGAGCTCTCTGCAGGCCGGCTGCCAGGTCGTCACTTCTCACCCTCCGGCTCTGTTTCCAATTTACACCATTGTGTCCCATGTCTTCTAGCCCATCCATCACTTTGTAGCTCATGCAGAGCTCTATCAACACTGCAGACATTCACGGCTTACCTCAAGTGCCACACTGTGAGAGGATTCATGTCAAATTCCTAAACAAAATCCATGTGGTATAAAAATAGATTGTGCCCCGTTCCGCTGTTGTCAGTACTTTGGACTGTTCGGTGTTCTGATGGTCCAGAGTGGAACTTTAACTGGAGTTGTTTTTGGTGGAAGTGAGAGTAGCTGGTGGTTTGGGGTATGGAGATGTTCCTCCCCGACAGATGTGTCAGTGACCTCCATCTGTCCTGTGCGACTCCTGCTCTTGTTTGGTTTGACACAGTGTGTTTGGAGACCATCTAAATTTAGTTCATCTTCTTTGTTTTGTCCTCTTTGACCCCATTAATTGGCAGGTTGGTGGTAAATAGAAGAGCATTTGCACAAAATGTTTCATTAGAAGTGAATTCATTTTTGTTGGAACCATGGCATGTGGTTGTCACACATGCTCCAACATGAGTGTTCATACGATGAACATCCCATTCATACAATAAAATAATAATAGTAATAATAATACAAAAGGTTTGGCTTTTTTAAATAATAATAATAATAATAAAAATCTTTAGAACTCACATTCATTCATTCACCAGCCAATTAAATAAAAATAGCATAAAGGGGTCATGGCTTACTTTTTCATGTAATTAAAATAAAATGACATGAAAAATAATTATTTACATGAATAAATAATAATTCATTAATTCGTTTTTTATGAACTGATTTAAAATATTCCAGGAGTCATCTCAGTACAATGAAATCATGGATGGATGGATGGATGGATGGATGGATAGATAGATTGATAAAGTTTTATCAAGTTCAACACGTAAATGTGATATTCAAGTCGGTAAACTCATGAATTAATAATGGAAAAAAGTTTTAGACTTGGATTCCTTTTTTAAGAGCATGTAAAAAATCAAAAAGACAATGGCGATAGAAAGGACGGAATTCTGACTTCTAGTTAATAAGAATAGGTCATGTAGTCATAACGTTCTTTTTGTCATAGTTTTATTTTCACTGATATCCACTTGCAATGTTAGTAAAGTAAACTTTTAGTAAAGATGCTGTAGGTTCACGGAGTTAGACATTAAGGTTAACTTTCTGAAGTTCACATACTACTTTAGAGAGATCTGTTTTGACCGCGGCCGGCGGATTCGACAAAAGATCGGCCGGCGGGCTTGCGGCAACCACAAGTGACGACCCCGGGCTGGACTCACGGTGAAAGCCAATCCGGCGATCCACGGCGATCCACAGATGTATTTCCTCAGCAACCAGCACGGATCAGCTCTAGGCATGACGAAGCGGATATCGTCCTCTTTTGAAAGGCCAAACAAAGTAGTTTCGCTTTCACAACGAAACACACAGCGCCTTCACGACATGGCGGCAGCAACAACAATACTACAGTGAGAATAAAAGTTACGCCTGGGTTATGCGTGAACATTTGGGCGGTGTTATGCAAATCTTCCCACATCGTGACGTAGACATGTTGGGGGTGTGTTAGAACGAGCCGTTTTAGGTAGGCGTGGTTGACTCTTAACTTTTATAAAGAATATCTCTTTGGATTTGAGACTTTAGTCTTTGCAACTTTACAGATCTTCTTTATGAACAAAGAGCTTGTAACACTCCAAAGAGAAAGGAAAAATTGAAATCGCATCATATGACCCCTTTAAA